TACCGACAGTCACTACAAGAGTTTTTGCTCTTGTGATAACCGTGTTAAACACAAAATGATTAAAGAGACTTTTAGTAAAGTATTCTTTAATTTTCCCATCCTTCAAAGGCTCCAGCAAGCACAAAAATATTGCTTCAAACTGATGACCTTATTTTAAAAGTTTGCAGCTATGTAATAGAAACAATTAAAATACCTTGAATCATAAAAGATGGCAAAAACTTTACTCTCTTTTCTTTCAAAATATTGTAGCAAGGGTAACGAGAGACCATTTGCTTTATATGATTTAACTATATGTCAATGGGATAGAATGACACTCAAATCAAAATAAATGCATTGTAAATGAGACATACTTGCTTCCTAGTAGAAGAAATGATACAAATTTGAGGAGGCCTCCTCTCATTTTCTGTTTCTTTAAAATAAAGTAATACCTGTTCCAAGACAATACATGCCTCAACCAATTGCTGCTCTTCATTAGCAGCAACACATTCAGGTACAAGTCTAGAATTAGAACATACAAATCTATAACCAGATGGACCTTTGTGATGCCAAACTGGTTTATTTTCACTTGCATGTAGCTTCCCATAAAATAACTCTGGCAATGAAAGGAGATCTTTATGAGCACGATAATTACTAGACAATGTTATCACGTAAGTAGCTGCAGTGGGACCCATTCCCTTGTAGCGATCTGTTAAACGTGTTAAAAGGGAAACATCAAGACCATCACTTTGTGCCTCTTCTCCCAGTACAAGGGTTTTAGGGCCAACCTATTACAAAAAAGTTAAAAACTAAAGCTTAACATGTCTCCATACCTGTTTGTCATCTCCAGCAAGAACAATTTTAGCATCTCGTGTAGCAAGAGCTAATGGAGTTATTGCTTCTGGCTCACGTACCTGAGCTGCTTCATCAAGGAATACGTAGTTGAAATAACCATAGCCAGGAACATCAAATATGTGGTAAAGATTCAAGGATGCATTATAAGACGCAATAATGATGACATTCTTTAGCTTTTCTGGTTTTAAATCCTCAAGTTTATCAAAAGTCGTGTAGAAATGAGAATTATACGACTTTGGGAGAGGATTACCCAAATATCGAGAAACATGAAAAACACGGTATGGAAGTTCGCCTTCTTCATCTTCAATTCGAGCGAAATAATCATCAATGAAAGAATTAACTGACTGAGGGTGATGAGCACAGATTAATATTCTCGTAAAAGGATCACCTTTTGAAACTCCATTGGTCATAACTTCATAAGCAGCACGAGCGAGAATACGGGTCTTACCAGAACCAAAGGGACCATAAAGAAAAACTGGAGGAGGGCATGAATCTGCAGTATGCTTTGAAGAAACAGAAGTGATCATTTGAAGCGCTTGTGTTTGGACATCATCCAGTTTCATGAAACTGTATTCTGACCAGTGAGGTTTAAACTTTTCCTCCAAATCACTGAAAGACTGCTTCTCAGATAAAAGACAGTTGATAACATATTGCGGTATGATAGCAACAGCATGCTGAAGGTTGTTAAAATAAGAATGCTTCAATTCAAACTCCATTTTAACTTTAAAGTGGCCATTTCTGTGAGACAGTTGAGCTTCAAGCTTTCTCCTAGTTCCGTCAGGAAAACATAAATAAAGGCGCTGCTCAACATGAGAAAAATTGTGTTGAGAAATTGATGCCTTGCAAACAAAGCCATTTGATTTATAAATGTTAACACCTTCGCTAGCTTGAGTGGCATACTCTATCTTGTCATAAGTAAATGCATCATCCTCAATGTACCCAAATTCTTTATATCGGTCTGGTTGCAATAGTAGATCCTTGACTTCTGGTGGGACATCATCAGTGACAAACAATCTGTAAACTCCACTGCACCTATGTGTATAAAAAAGAAATGTTTGTGGGTGTAACAAACTAGTGCTATAAATTCTATAATGCATAAAAAACAAACAAATTAAACAAAACCACAACAACTATGGCATGCCTACACATCATTATAACGCAGTCAAAACACCATTGATGTGTAGTTTATAGAAATATTTGACTTAAGCAATACTGTAACCCATTAATAATTACTATCCAATTTAACTAATTTAACTTTTGGCCCAATTTCATTAAAGTTAATGGCTGTAACTATGATTGTCAGTACACATATGGTTATATCAGTTGTAAAAATTGTTAAGATTAATGGACGTTAATATAAATATACCCACTTCAAAAACATAGATGAAAAGGAAGTTAAATTATTTGGGTCTACAATAGATGTCATATCAGACAAGGGGACTTACATGTACATGTATGCTATTAAACTGCGGCTGTAGGCTACTTTCAACAATGCAAATACTTACTTATTATGAAGTTTTTTTGTGTGTTCTTTTTCTTCATACCAAAGTGTATCATAAAATTTATCTTGATAGTTTCTAGTACTAAGTTCTTGTCTTGGACCAGGAACTGGTGGAGCTTTTGATCTTTTTGCATAAATAGCTTGCCACGGGCGTTCTGTGTACTTTGGTGGCTTATTGTCTTTCTTATATTTGGGATTATATGGCTCTATAAATTAAATAATAATAATAATTATTAATAATACCGTATAGCGCTTTATTCTGGCAGTGCTTTATTTTGGCGATTTTGCTGTAAAATTGTAATTGGCAGTTTTTAATTTGGCGATTTTTGTGTACACGTGCATTACTGAGCATGCGCATTAATGATTGGCAGTTTTAATATTGGCAATTTTGCTTGCAAACCGCCAGTCGCCAAAATAAAACTCCACCAAATTAAAGCGTTATACGGTATAGTAATAAGAAGAAATAATAAGTAAAAAATAGAGTAAGTCACCTGTCCTTCTTCTTTGATCAACAAGATAGTCTAGGACACGCTTGATAAATTGACTCTGATCATTTTTGAAATGAAAATAGACGATGTCTTCATAGCGAATTTGATACTTTGGCTCAATCAGGAGATGAAGGAGATCAGACTTTCTGTCTCGTAGGGTACTATTATCTTCCTTGATTTGATTGAGTGTGTCCGAGTCTATTTCTTTCTGTAACCCAAATGAGTACCAATCTCTTCCAATGAGGTCATTATCAGGACAAGTAATTTTTTCGATTTCTTCTTTTTTGACATTGACTTGCAGATCTGATTCGGTCAATCTTCTGGCTGATAAAAGAGGTTTTAACGCTTCACTAAATTCAGGATCTGAGGAAATAAAAATGATTGCTAGATTTAGATTAAGTAATTCACCTGCTATGCTTGGTTTCCGAGTTGGCTTCCTATCTTGTCCTGAATCTTGTGTCATGGTATGCGCCATTGTGACCTTAGGACGTCACACGCCTTCTAGTCAGGTGTGGTCATTGTCAAATTCATTCAATTCAAGCATAACTGAAATTCCAGGCAAAGTTCACTTGTGGAGTTGTCAGTTGTGGAGCAACATGATTGTTGTGCTTGATGTAAACACACTGAACATGAACTGTTTAGCAACTCCTGCATGCCTGGATGCAAGCTTTTAGAGAGACATGCATCATGCATGGTATAATTTTACTAGACTAGATCTAGATTTAGGCCCCTTAGTTTTGAGTCTAAATGGTTAATAACTTAATTGCTTCAATCATTGGATATAGATCTAGATAGTCTATATATACACGTAGATACATCAGTGGATATGGTGCAGTAACAATTCAGTGATATCTTGTAATAGTGGAAATCTGATAATATCATCAGTTGCTGTGATGCTGAGTCTTCTACTCTTTCTCTCACTTCTGGTAAGTACAATAGATCTTATTACATTGCCATATGGCTAATAATTTAATATGCACACATAAGTGACCTAATCTGTGTTATATAGCTGGAATTTATGACAAAATAGGGAGTTAACTGGAATTTTGTACTTTGTAGTAAATATACACCTTTGTAAGGAAATATGGTGACCTTTCTCTTTACAATTAGACAATACTTTTCATTGTCAATTAGCTTCACATCGTTTCACTCTGGACAATCAATTGGCAATGGAATTAGACAAGAATTTCACACTAAGTGAAGACATCAATGGTCCCCTGCTAGCAGCTGTGATAGGGATAGAGATGGTGGTAGGACTTATTGCTAACTTATTAGTACTTATACTGACTGCCTGCCATTTGAAGACTTGGAAGCAACCATCGACAATTTTTCTAACTAATATGCTATTGAACTATCTTGCAATGATCACTCTGCTGCTGCCGATTTCCATTATAACTTGTGCCAGTGGGGAATGGATATTTGGTACAACATTGTCACAAAAAATGACCATCTGCCGAGCCATTGCTTATATTTTCATGACAAGCATTGTCATTGCTACAGAGAGTTTAACCCTGCTGTCATTTGATAGATTCATCTTCATCGTCAAATCTTTTTGGTACAAGAAGTATATGACCAGAAACAAAGCTATGATAATGATTGTTGTCTCCTGGTTTCTAGCAGTAATAGTATGCTGTCCTCTTTATATGAAGGGAGGATTTGAATTCTCACAGAGTAGTGGGCTGTGTATACCAGCTGTTAAGAACCAGATTGGTTTTGCTGTGTATGGTTTTATAATATTTTCCAGTTTAATCATGAGCATAATAATAACATCAATGTGGACATACTGTTATACCAGGAAATACCTCAAAAAAAGAAGTACAGAACGGAATCACATGAGTAGTGTTTATCTGTCTCAAAAGAGAAGACTCATTGGACTATTTGGCATGTTAATAATAATCCATGTACTTTGCTATACTCTTCTCATTGCTTTTGTTATTATTGAGCCTTTCCAACCAGTTTCATATCGTCTTTACGCTGCTTCATTCGTCTTAACATGGTTAATGACAATTTTAAGTCCTTTGGCTCAAGCTTACTTCAGATATGAAATTAGAAGCATAGTTCAATCGTTTCTTATAAAAATTTGGAGTTTATTTAGCTCTTGCAACACAACTAATTCTAATATGAAGCCACAATGAACAATTTAAGATAACATTAAAATATTTGTTATTTAGAATAGACACATGTAATACATGACTACATTTGTTCCTATGAAAATTTAATTTAACCTAAATGTTATCATTAATGCTTGAATGTTGAAATAACTACATTCAATTAATTATAATAATTTTAAGCAAAATCATTAAAAATCCCTAAGTAGACTATAAATGAAACAGCACTACATGATAGTAGTATGATATGCAATAGAAACTGGATAGATACATGTCTAGAGCAATCCTGCCATTTTGACAATTTTTGATACTGAGGATTTGTCCTGGCAATAATACTTTATCAATCAATAGAATTAATCCTAAAAATCTCCTGTGATAGATCTACCTAAATATAAAATACATCCATGTTTTAATTGCTTAGACTTGCATTTGTTATAATTTTACTCTTGGGCTAATGAAAGTTATTCTTCATTATTGCAAATCTAGCACAGCAATTACTTTATTTTACATTAAACATATGCCTACATTGATATCAGTAGAGGAACATGATTATTGTACATTTCCAAATGTAGACAAATAATAAGCTGCAACAGCAAAGTTACGCTTTCAATGATAATGACAAACTGCAAACAGTCCAGCTTAGTCTAGTTCAGCTTGGAGTTTATTCGACTCCATTGATATATCTACACTTAAACAAGGCAAACAAAGTATTATATCTAGACCTATATGTATACAGATCTGTAGTGTTAATAAAAGCATTAAGCACGTGTTATTTACAATGTTGCATTTCAATTTGTACCATAAAAACTAAATAATTAAACTAAAGGATTTAACAATAAAAAGATACAGCAGTTCAGCAGCAAATGTTTAAATTTTAGCAGCATATGTATATATATCGATTTCTAATTAGAAAGAGGTAGTTTCTTTTTCCTCATTTCCAATGGAATCATACATATACTTCTTTTCATCAGCATCTTCATCATACACTGGGTTATAGCTTTGTACTCCAGCATACCTCTGATTTTCATCAGTCTGCACATACAAGCCTCTGAGGGTTACATCTCCTATAGTGTTATTCCCAGAGGATTCAGAGAAACTTGCATTGTTTATATAGTTTCCTCTTAGGCGAGCCTCACCATATCCATCATTACTTCTATGCCTTTTCCTAAAATATTAATAAGTTAAGTATACCACAAAAAATTTTCATGTACCTCATAAAAACGATTGCTACAACAATAATTGTAAATAGTACTAGGATGCATAACACTGATACAACAATGGCAGCAAGCAATCCAGGATTTAATGACTGTGTTGTTGAAGATGTTGGATCAGTTGGGTTTCCCACATGAGCAGAAGTAGCTCCACTAAATCCTGCATTTCTATATGTGCCATCATTAATGCCTCCCTAAGTATTAATATAATTATACATGTACCACCGGTATATATAATCATATTTTTTGTACCTGAACAGCATTCAATAAATCATCAGCAGATAGTACAGAGTTATCAGATATAGTCACATAGAATATGATATCTATTCCATCATTTGAGTTCTCCATGCTGTAAATCTGAACATTATCAGCTGATACTGGTATCCATAAATTCCTGCAATATATATGGTACTGAATATTAATACATTAGAGGTACACTTACTGTCTCTTTCTCGATAACGTTATCACTGAACATCCTATAGTCCTTGAACTACAATAGCTATTGACTGATTCTACTGTTGCTAGTTTAAAATTAAGTAGAACGCTATTTGTAAACTATAAAAATAAACCAATATTACTGCCAAATTATTATCAAAAACTATACTTACTGTAGCTATACTAAATCCATTTAGAGAAATTCTAATACTATATTCCAGATACAATGTTGGCACTTTTGTAGGTGACTGTGACACTTCTATAGAGCTGGTACGTGCAGCAGAAGTTTCAGAGCTCTTATCGTTAGTGGAAGAACTTTCAGATCGAGAAGCAATAGAGGTTGTTGACTGCTGAGTGGTGCCAATCATTCTTGAGCTGGAAGTAAATACTGGTGAGGTAGATGAAGCTGCAGTGTTTATAAGTGAACTTGAAGTAATTGTAGAAGAAGAAACAGCTTCAGAACTAGTCATTGCTTCAGTAGAAGAAGTAGTGGAGCTGGAAACCATGGTGCTTGAAGGTTGTGTAGTAGAAGAAGCAACCTCTGAACTTGTAACTATTTCTGAGCTGGAAACCATAGTGCTTGAAGGTTGTGTAGTAGAAGAGACAACTTCAGAACTTGTTGTTACTTCTGAGCTGGAAGCCATGGTGCTTGAAGGTTGTGTAGTAGAAGAGACAACTTCAGAGCTTGTAACTATTTCTGAGCTGGAAACCATGGTGCTTGAAGGTTGTGTAGTAGAAGAAACTTCTTCAGAACTTGTCATTATATCTGAGCTGGAAATCATGGTGCTTGAAGATTGTGTAGTAGAAGAAACCACCTCAGAACTTGTCAATATTTCTGAGCTAGAAACAATGGTGCTTGAAGGTTGTGTAGTAGAAGAAACAACTTCAGAACTAGTCATCAATTCAGTAGAAGAAGCAATTATTTCTGAGCTGGAAACCATGGTGCTTGAAGATTGTGTTGTAGAAGAAACCACTTCAGAACTTGTCATTATTTCTGAGCTGGAAACCATGGTGCTTGAAGGTTGTGTAGTAGAAGAAACAACTTCAGAACTAGTCATCAATTCAGTAGAAGAAGCAACTATTTCTGAGCTGGAAACCATTGAGCTTGAAGATTGTGTAGTAGAAGAAGCAACTTCAGAACTAGTCATCAATTCAGTAGAAGAAGCAACTATTTCTGAGCTAGAAGCCATGGTGCTTGAAGGTTGTGTAGTAGAAGAGACAACTTCAGAACTTGTTGTTACTTCTGAGCTGGAAACCATGGTGCTTGAAGATTGTGTAGTAGAAGAGACAACTTCAGAACTAGTCATCAATTCAGTAGAAGAAGCAACTATTTCTGAGCTGGAAACCATGGTGCTTGAAGATTGTGTTGTAGAAGAAACCACTTCAGAACTTGTCATTATTTCTGAGCTGGAAACCATGGTGCTTGAAGGTTGTGTAGTAGAAGTAACAACTTCAGAACTAGTCATCAATTCAGTAGAAGAAGCAACTATTTCTGAGCTAGAAGCCATGGTGCTTGAAGGTTGTGTAGTAAAAGAGACAACTTCAGAACTTGTTGTTACTTCTGAGCTGGAAACCATGGTGCTTGAAGATTGTGTAGTAGAAGAGACAACTTCAGAACTAGTCATCAATTCAGTAGAAGAAGCAACTATTTCTGAGCTAGAAGCCATGGTGCTTGAAGGTTGTGTAGTAGAAGAGACAACTTCAGAACTAGTCATTAATTGAGTAGAAGAAGCAACTATTTCTGAGCTGGAAATCATGGTGCTTGAAGGTTGTGTAGTAGAAGAAACAACTTCAGAACTAGTCATTAATTGAGTAGAAGAAGCAACTATTTCTGAGCTGGAAACCATGGTGCTTGAAGGTTGTGTAGTAGAAGAAACAACTTCAGAACTAGTCATTATTTCTGAGCTAGACACCATGGTGCTTGAAGACTGTGAAGTAGAAATCACACTAGAACTTGCCATTACTTCAGTAAAAAAAGAACTGACATCGGAAGTGAAAGAAATAGTGCTTGAAGGCTCTGGAGTGGAGGTAAAAGTTTCTGTACTTGTAGAATAAGATGTAGCACTAGAAACTTGAAGTGATGAACTGCTAAAATCAATACTAGGTGTAGAAGATTCGGAAACAGTTGAAGTATACATAGTAGAACTCAGAGAATTAATTGAGGAAGGAGCAATGCAAGTGACACCTGCATCTTCATAGTGTCCACAGTTGTGATTTGAGGTGTGTGTGCAGTTTGCAAGAAATTGTTCAGTTCCATCACATGCAACATCATCCAATAATATTGATCCATTTCCCTGACCAAAGTATGCACTGCTCCGAGCTGTCCCACCTAAAATATATCACAGGAAACTACTCACAACACCTCATATTAGCTAACTCACTTGTTCCTAGACCAAGCTGTCTACATACAACTCCAGCATCAGTGTTGTCCCATGAGTCATCACACACTGTACCCCACCTTCCATTCTGACACAGCTCCACTCTTCCCTCGTTTGAGTTTGATCCACCAACAAGACGTAGAGAACCAGAAGTACAAACTAAAGTAATAGACCCATCTCACAACACCACAAATTTATTCTACAAACTAACCATGACAAGATACTCCAGCATCCTCATAGTGTCCACAGTTGTGAGTACTCGAGTATGTGCAGTTTGTCAAAAACTCTTCTGTTCCTGTACACAGAACATTATCAAGGAGGATACTACCAGCACCCTGACCAAAGTAGGCATTTGATCGAGCAGTTCCACCTGTCACAATATATCATTCATTGTCAAAAGGAATCAACTCACTTGTTCCCCAGCCTAGTTGTCTACACACTACTGCTGCATCAGGGGAGTTCCAGAAATCATCACAGACAGTACCCCATGATCCACTATCACACACTTCCACTCTTCCCTCCCAATCGTGTGAACCACCAACAAGACGGATTGATCCAGTAGTGCAATCTGTAAATAAATAATTTTAATCAACTTTAAGTAAACATTATTGCATTAATGTACCACAAACAAGTCAATATTGGCTACAACATTGCTGTACCACAAACTGCCAAACTTTTAAATTAAAAAAAATTAATTCATGAACTATATAGTTATGAATGATTTTTCTGCTCTTTGATGCATATTATGTACAAATGTCTGTTTAGACAAATGATTTTCTATCTGTGGGCAGAATCAGCTACACAACATAAAACCATGTATGTGTACAAAAAGAATTATAAAGATGAAGAATTTTCTCTTAGTCAATTTTGGTAAAATTTGGCCAAATAATTCGCCTGGTTTTTGAGTATTTTATTAATTTATAAAATTTCAATTTTCATCAGAATCAATTCAAACATGCTACACACAACATAAAAGCATGCATATGAATCAAAAAAATTTTAAAGGAGACATTTCTCTTTGTCATTTTCCTGTGCTACAGATTAGGGACTTTGGCCAACATACATTTAAAGACTGAAAAAAATCTAAATTTTTTAGAATGAACTTAAAATTTCCATAAAGCACAAAAATAATTTATAGAATTATAAGGAAGTTTGACTTTCAGCAACTTAAAATTCATTAGAAAAAACCTGCATGAGCACTATGCCAAAATCCCATTGCAAACCCAGTTTGTAACTCATAACTTACAAGCACATCTGACTCCTGCATCTTCAGCGTGAACACAGTTGTGATTTGTGATGTGTGTACAGTTTGTAAGGTAAGATTCACTTCCATCACACTGGACATTGTCCAACACAATTGATCCATTTCCTTGTCCAAAGTAGGCACTGCCAAAGGAAATTCCTATGTGAATATATACACTCACATTCCAAATAACATATAAACCTTTCCTTACCTGAATCAAATCCCAGCTGTCTACATACAACACCGGCATCAGTTGAATCCCAGAAATCATCACAGACTGTACCCCATGCTCCACCACTGCATACCTCAACACGTCCCTCCAAGCTGTTTGTACCACCAACAAGACGAATGGATCCATCAATGCAAGCTATACACTACAAATTAACAATCTCATAAATCATACACTTACCTGGAGGTGTAGATCCTGAACAAGTCACTCCTGCATCTTCATAGTGTCCACAGTTGTGATTTGAGGTGTGTGTGCAGTTTGCAAGAAATTGTTCAGTTCCATCACATGCAACATCATCCAATAATATTGATCCATTTCCCTGACCAAAGTATGCACTGCTGCGAGCTGTTCCAGCTAAAATTAATCACAGAAAACTACTCACAACACATCATATTAGCTAACTCACTTGTTCCTAGACCAAGCTGTCTACATACAACTCCAGCATCAGTATTGTCCCACGAGTCATCACACACTGTACCCCACCTTCCATTGTGACACAGTTCCACTCTTCCCTCGTTCGAGTTTGATCCACCAACAAGACGCAGAGAACCAGAAGTACAAACTAAAGTAATAAATACATCTCACAATACTACACATTTA